AGTCAAGTAATTAATCTTCTACTTCGAAATATATTTGTATTGAAACTATTTTTTTTTTTTTTTGATTAATCAAAATGCCCATTTTAAAGAGCTTACAATTAAATTCGATATTATTTATAGTTTGCAATGTTTATTTGTTTTTAAGGCTACCAAGCCTGCAGGAGATTTGCATAAAATCCTTGCTCATCTCTGGCTGGGACAGAGCGGATCACTTGAGTGGCTAACTGGGCAAATCCCCAGTGGTGGGACAGTTCCGTGAGCCAGCCAAGCAAACGACTTGACGCTTCGCTTAACTTAAGCGATTTTTTATGCTCTCGTCGGCCAAAATGATGTGGAAAGAGAAGCTGTACAAGAGAGTGAGAGTGAGAGAGAGAGAGAGAGAGAGAGAGAGAGGGGAAAAATATGGCATTAGTTGTTGTGTTTCTTGCTCTTGTTATTCTTGTTGCAGCGACAGCCTTGCTGAGCATTTGAAAATCTGCTTGCAGCTAATTAGCAGCGACCAGAGTGGCAAATGTCGACATCGTGTATACGCCCCGTAGCACGCGCCAAGCAAATTGCATTCGTTCTGCGTGGCATCGCCACTCAGGCAGCGTTTCGCTCGTTTTGCTGACCGAGAAGACCGAAAGTAAAAATATTTTCACTGTGAGAAATTGCATTGGGATGCCGTGAGGTGGAAGGCGTTCGCCCACTTTTCAGTAGAGGTCAGGGCACGGCAAGGAAAATTGCATTAAGCTCCATTGAACGTAAACTGCGAGCGAGAACAACTCCCAAAATGGCACAACTTTCCAATTTGCCAGTGCATTTTCTTTCGCTAAATTTATGTGCACACTTTCACAGGCTCACCCACACACTCACTTACTTACGGCAGTCTAATGAAATATTATCGATATATATATTATGGGGCTTACATGTGGCCCAATGGGTGTATGTCTGTGTAAGTGTGTGTGTACGTGTGTGTGAGCGTGCCACATTCGGCAACATATGGGCGCCATCATATAACGACTGCGAAATTCTTGTTGTCGTCCGCAACGCTTGATTTACTTACATTTACCTAATACCCACACTTTATATGTTTGAAATATTTGTAATATATTCTTAAGTTTTAGTTGTGCTGTAAGCTCAGTTAGTACGTATTCAAGTGCGATATATAATATCATTGGTCTAGAGAAAAGAGGACTCCTTGAATTGTGCGAGTATGTCAGCTTAAAGGAAAATTTTACTGCAAAATGGTTTCAAATCTTTTTTTTTTTAATTATTCATAACGTAAGTAATTTATTTAATTTTTTTTTTGCTTTCTATTATTTCTTTTACCTGTATATTTCATTTACATATTCTGAATTTATATTATTATAAATTCTTGAAATTATAGTATAAGTTAGCATTCAGTTTAAGCTCTATCGTCTTCTTTCTCTTTTCTCTTACTAAAATTGAAAATTTCAGATTTGAATTTTAGTTCAGTCACTCCAATCGCTTCAAATGTGTTCAGTTTCTCAAAGACTCAAACTTTTCGACTACGAATACCATTTGCTTGAAATGGCAGAGCAAGCTTCAAACTTCTCTAATGCTTAGGTGTACTTTGGTTAACTACTCTATAACTTAGGGCATTTCCTATTCGAGCTCGCGCAACTCAAGTATTTTTAATTGTTTTCCTTTTCGATTTGCTGGCGCTAGTCTAGAAAGTTGTGTGTACATTTTCACAGCTTTTGTTTGTGAATCTTTTATACTGGCTGACCTTAAGTGGATGTGTGATTCGATTTGAAAATGAGCTCAGTGATGTTAAAAAGCAGCTAGTGCTGATAAAGAGAGGGAGAGAGAGAGAGAGGGAGGGAGGGAAAGAGAGTGCCGGCAGTATTTGTAACCTAGTTTATATTGCTATTCAATTGCTTTCGCTTTTATGTGTGTGCCAGTGGCATGTAATGGCTAGAAACACAACAACGCACTTTAAGGACCAGGACGCTTAATTGGCCGCTCAGCTGTAAATTCACTGGACTGCATCAAAGATTTACAACTACGGCTGGCCCTGTCACGGGAATTGTTGGCTGCACAGAGCAAAAGCCGTGTTGGGATTAGAATTGCCCGGTCCGGCGAGCTGGGCAGATGTTTTCGGTCAATGCAAGTGGTTTGCATTTGGCATTTATTGCTGCTACGTTATGCCTGCTACCAGAATAACACCAGCACAGGAATTGCAGTGGGAATGGCACTGCCAGCGAGGGCCTGGCAGGACCTGGCGCCTGTTTACTTTGGCCATTGAGCAGCTGCAGTTGGCCTCGGCATTGTTTGCTAGCTCGGCCCTTAGCCAGCTAATTCGTATGGGACGTGTGAGGCATGGCTCTACTGTCATGGCCATAAGCCTCTGTCCCTCTCTCCCTCTCCCTCTCCCTCTCTCTCTCTCTCTCTCTCTCTCTCTCTATCTATGTGTGAGTTGCCGCCAAAGATTCAATTAAATAAAGCATTGCAACAGGCGCTTAAAACACAAAGGCAATATGCATAGCTACAGCTG